TAATATAACCTTGACCTCATTTTCATCGACCTTTAAAAATGTTTAATTTATGTGATACTTTTTAGAAAAACCTTTATCATTAAGACTTTCAATATAAAATCAATGGTCAGTAAAGCAGGCGAAACATTTCAGGATTGGTCCACATTGAGGTTCAAAGGGTTCAAAATAAAACTTTTTTTCATCACAAATTGAATTTTTGTGGTTCTTTGATATGCTGAACTAACCATGAATTTAGATTTTGAATATTGGACCATCATAGGTAAATGTCAAATTTCAAGTTCTTAGACAACATTCATTCTGTGTTAGAAAACTGTGCTATGTCATATGTTTATTCACAATCCAAATTCAGAGCTGTATTACACAATTGATAGAAATTGTTAGTAGATTCGTAATTAATAAAATTGAGAATGGAAATGGGGAATGTGTCAAAGAGACAACAACCCGACCATAGAACAGACAACAGCAGAAGGTCACCAACAGGTCTTCAATGCAGCGAGAAATTCTCGCACCCGGAGGCGTCCCTCAGCTGGCCCCCAAACAAACATATATACCAGTTCAGTGACAATGAACGCCATACTAAACTCCAAATTGTACACAAGAAACTAAAATTAAAAATAATACAAGACTGACAAAGGCTAGAGGCTCCTGACTTGGGACAGGCGCAAAAATGCGGCGGGGTTAAACATGTTTATGAGATCTCAACCCTCCCCCTATACCTCTAGCCAATGTAGAAAAGTAAACGCATAACAATACGCACATTAAAATTCAGTTCAAGAGAAGTCCGAGTCTGATGTCAGAAGATGTAACCAAAGAAAATAAACAAAATGACAATAATACATAAATAACAACAGACTACTAGCAGTTAACTGACATGCCAGCTCCAGACTTCAATTAAACTGATTGAAAGATTATGTCTTCATCAAGAATAGATATTCGTTCCACAGAAAGTCATATAGTAAATAATCATGTCACTACCACAGCTCAGCTTAAGGCCTCCGTTGAACATTCGAAGGTCCCCACTATGTATTGGTTACCTGAACTACACAAAAAAAAACCGTAAAATGTCGTTTCATCTCGGCCTGCTAAAGTTCTACTATTAATTTTAAGGTGCTTTTAAAGAGTTCCTTAACTACTGTCAAAGAGCTTATCGTTAATTTTTGTATTAAATCATTAAAAAAAACAGTGGAATTAACCATTTTTGGAGTGTTAAAAATTCTTTGGATGTTTTAGATAAATTACGTGCTTTTTATGGTCCTTTTGATTCGGTTGACAATTTTGACCTTTCCGCCCTGTATACTACACGTCCACACAATCTTATTAAACAAAAGTTTTTCTATCTAATAAAACGGTCGTATGATAAATCTGGTTGCAAATTTATTTGCTGCAACTCATATTAAGCCTTTTTCTCTAATGCGAAAGGTCAATATGATAGATATACTTAGAGGAGGTGTGATGAGATGATTAAAGTACTAAATTTTCTCCTTGTCAACATTTATTCCTTTGGCTATCAAGTTTATCGACAGGTTGTAGGTATGGGCACCAATTGTGCCTCCTTAATAGCAGACTTGTTCCTTTAGTGTTATAAATCACAGTTTATGGCCAAACTCAGTAAAGAACCATCTAAATTCCATTTAAATGGTAAATTCAACAGCACATACCGGTATCGTCATGATATTTTTTCGTTAAATAATCAAGAATTCTATAAATATACTGCTGAAGTTTACCCAAAGTAACTTACTTTAAATAAACCAAATATTAACAGCAATAACTGTCCTTTCCTATATTTTGATATGTCAGTATTACACCAGAAACTCTACACAAAAATTTTACCTATCGTTAATTTTCCCTTTTTTGACGGTGATGTTCCTTTGGCACCATCTTACGGTGTTTATATATCCCAACTCGTTTGCTTTGCTCGTGTCTGTAGTGAAGTTTTTGATTTTAATAAGCGTAATCTATTTATAATTACTAGTAAATTATTAAGTCAGGGATTTCGTTAACACAAATTACTTACAACCTTTACTAAATTCTTCCATAGATACAAAGATTTGGTCTGAAAGTTTGGCTGTACCTGTGGAAAACTTATTTCAAACGGTATAACACATCCTAAATTTTACGGTGATGTTGTAAACCGAGCCCAGAAATTTAGATACGATCCGGGTAAACTTATTAATCCTTTAAATAAACTTATTCTAAAATGTTACCTATTCAACACTGTAAATATTGTTTTATTGGTATAAATATTGATATTGTTATCAGTAAATTAAAACCATACTAAATATTACAGATATGTACTTTCACGCTACTACAATCTGTCGCCTATAGTTTGGCATTGCACAAGGTCATGTTTTTCTCTGACTGTTAATGACGTCTTCACACTAAAAATCCATTGGATGTGGGATGTGTACTGATTGATATTTTAGATACATGATTTTTTTTTATTAGTTGTTATTGGCTTTGAACTGCGGGTACTCTCATGTCTGAACTTAGTGTCTTTTTGTTGTGAGGATGTATAAGCACCCATCCACGTCCTCTTTGTGTTTTTATTAAATGTATTTCAATTTTTATCTTCTGTATGTATGTAAAAGTTAAGATAATTAATCAGCTAGTTCATTTATATGATATTTAGTTTAAAGCAAATGTATGCAAAGGATTTATTTGTTTTCAGACAGTTTACATTTAGAATTAACCGACATATTAATATTCTGGCAATGGTTACAAAATACATAAAATAACACCATTACAAACTTAATCCCAATTTTATATTCTATTTTTAGAAATTTACCTGTGACGTTGATACATTCGTGTGACACACAGTTCAAAATTCCATTGTAGTGTACTGTTTGTAGAAGATGTCCGTTGTTATTCTGTGGTTTACATGTTGTAGTGTACTATATTATATTATTTATTTATGTATTTCTCTGTCCTGAGTGTTCTTTCGTTTATTTGTGCTGGATTCCTGTCATGTTATGTTGTTATTTTAGCGGTATTTTTAACATTGCCATATAAGCATGAAGTTTGGCTAGCCATAAAACCAGGTTCAACTCACCATTTTTTCATAAAATGTCCTGTACCAAGTCAGGAATATGACAGTTCTTATCAAAAAGTCCGTTTTTATGTAAATTGGCGTTTGTATTTGTATTAGTTCAGTGTCTCTGTTATTCCGTTGTTTCCCTCGGTTTTTGTTTGCGATCCGGGTTTGTTTTCGCATAATTGATTTATGACTATTGAATAGCGGTATACTACTGTTGCCATTATGTGTCCATCTGATGAATTAAGCCCTTTTCAACAGATTTTTATAGTTTGTTCTTATGTTGCACTGTCCCAGGTTAGGGGAGGGTTGAACGCCCACAAACATGTTTGACCCCGTCACATTCTTTTTGTGCATGCCCTAAGTCAGGAGCCTGTAGTTTAGTGGTTGTAGTTGGTTCATGTCTGTCATATTTGTTTTTTCGTAAATTGTTTTGTTATAAATAAGTTTTCTCAATTGAGTTGCTTCACATTTTTCATGTCGGGGCCTTTTATAGTCGACCATACGGTATGGGTTTTTCTCATTGTTGAAGGCCGTACAGTTGCCTTTAATTGCTTACATATACTTCATTTGGACTTTGGTGGATAGTTGTCTCATTGGCATTCATACCACATCTCCTTATTTCTATATAGCATCAAATTCTAATTTAGAAATTATGTATAAATATAGTTTGATATTTACTGGTCATCATTAGATATTTTGAAAATTATCACAGGTATGATATATAAATTTTCTAAAACATTGTTTTAATGATGAATGTTATTGTGGTAATTGTTTTCTCATTTTGTATTGTAAATTTGTGATGTGCTGTTACACCACTGTCCCAGGTTATGTGTGTGTAGGGTGGGGGTGAGCGCTCACAAACATGTTTAACCCCGCCACATTCTTCGTGTGCCTGACCTAAGTCACGAGCCTGTTGGTTCATGTCTGTCATATTTTTTTTTTCGTGAATTGTTTTGTTATGAATTAGGCCGTTAGTTTTCTTAATTGAATTGTTTCATATTGTTCATGTCGGGGGCCTTTTATAGCCGACTATACGGTATGTGTTTTTCTCGTTGTTGAAGACCGTACGATTGCTTATAATTGCTTAATATACTTCATTTGAACTTTGGTGGATAGTTGTCTCATTGGCAATCATACCATATCTACTTATTTCTATATTCGTAGTAGGTTTGTTAGTTATTTTGTATAAATTTTCAGAATTCTATAAATATACATATATATATATTTTTTTTTTATGAAGCGAACTCCTTTAAAAACTTTGCTAATATTGTTCATTAATAGATAAATAATTATTTTTTTTGTGAACTTGGATATGCTGAATCTAACCATGTATTCAGATTATGGATATTGGATCACAATAGGCAAAAGTACCTTTTAATTTTTTTTTAGTTCTTTGACCACATTCATTCTGTGTCAGAAACCTATGCTGTGTAAAATATTTATTCACAATCCAAATTCAGAGCTGTATCAAGCTTGCATGTAGTGTCCATTCTTGCCTAAACTGTTCAGGGTTCGACCTCTGCGGTCGTATCAAGCTGCGCACAGAGGAGCATTTCGTTCTTTTTGTCTTTGATAAAGTTCTGTGTAAATTTTCCTTAAAAATAAATGTTCTTCAGGTTGAATCCAATAGCGACACATATATTGCAACGCCTTTAAAAGGGAGGCATTTGTGATATAACAAATAGTCTAACTTGATGTCAATGTTACAGTCGGATAACTTACTTTAACTATGAGTTTTGTCATCATGTCGATAAAATGTTGGGTTGGAATGTGCAGAGCGGGGATTTGGGAAATTGGCTCGGTTATTATGGTTTTTACTCAATCCACATTTCATATGAATATATTCTTATGATACTTATATGAGTTATAGTCAGAAGATTTTACGACGAAACAAAAAGATAAATCATATGTTGCTTTTAAGAGAGAAAAATACATTCTAACATTTTTGCTTTTGTCTAATATGCAGGATTCAGCGGTCGTTATTGTCAATATATACCAATCTTGATTTGTGAAGAAAAATCGAGTACCAGTAAATTACCAAGTATTAAAAAGTGCAGTGGAAATCATGATGCGAAGTGCTATATTTTACAAAACAATACCATTTTCATCTGTGAAATACCACAACGTAAGTTACAATTACAATTATACCAGACAAATACATATATATTTATGTATGATAAATAAATGTTTTATTATTATATCTTTTTTTAACTTCGTTAAAATGCCTTACGTAATTTAATGTTCCTGATATATTAGCACTTTTGTGTCAGAATTTATCTCGCCGGGACATAGGGATTACAGTCCAGCAGCGGCGACGGCGTATGCTATTTGTACAAAGCTTTATATTTCAGATGGTATGATACCTGGATGCGTCATACATTGTATGCAGAAGCCTTACGTTAGGCGGTTTCCGGCAGTCCATTGTTATTGACCTCCATTTCATGGTTCATTGACTGCTTGAAAACAACTTATAGATCTGTTTTTTATGAGAAATACTCACTTATTATGTTTAATAGGATAACTATATTTGATGTATGGCTTCCTTGGGAGGTGTACGTGCCTTTCAGACTGGATTAACATGAACTCGACCTCATTCTTTGTACCACTGATCATGGTTGAAATGAAGTGGTCAAGTCCGTGTATCAAATACTATAAGCAAAATGTTAACTTTTTTGGTGTTTGTAAGGTATAACTGTTCGAGTGGCAGATTTCATCTGACGTTGACCTAATGTTCATGGTTCATTGGACAATGTTCAGGTTTTGGTTAATCTATTTCACAGATACTATAAGCAATAGAATCACTATATTTTGTGTATGGAATGATTGTAAGGTGTATATGTCTGTCTGGTATGTTACATATAACCTTTACGTCATTTTTATGATTCATTGGTCAATGTTAAAATTTCATGGATTTGTCATTTATCAGAGTTTATAACAACAAGGTTTTTTCAAGGTTTATTGGTCAATGTTAAGTATATGGGGTTTAGTATGTTTTCCAGGTACGAAATGCAATAGAACAACTATAATTATTTTGTGTATGAAATGATTATAATGTGTACATATCTGTCTGAAATAGTTCAGATCACCGTGACCTCATGATTATGGATCATCGATAATGTTAAGTTTACGTAATGCTCGTAGTACAGCTTTCATATTACAGATTTTCAACATAAATTCAATGATTATGGTTTATTATAAGACGGGTGAAATATTTCAGCGTGTGCACTCTTGTTCAATATGTTAATTCAATCGAAAATGCATACTATCTATATATAGAAAGAGAGAAGAACAAAAATGTAGCCCTGTGTAAGCTCTGGTTATCGGACGGAGAACGTCTGTCATAAAGGTGTCACACGTTTAGAAGTATGAAATATAATGAAAATTTGATGTAACGACATGGTAATAATATTATCATTCTTAACGACAACCAAAACATAGCTGATGCAGAAGGTTCACCATCTACTTGCCACTATATAACATATTATGTGTTAAAACCCTAGATAAAGCCGATGAGGACATGTATTACTCGAATAGAGACAGCTATAGATTTATAGCCTAGTTGGTCGAGTGGCTATGGCACTAGACGCAGTGCAGGCGGTGTTTTCATGGTGTTACAGAAACAGGGATTCTAATCCCGCTGACGGAAGAAAAACATTTGCTTACACTAATTTGCAGATACAGTTTGCCCCCACCCGTTCTAGTCCACCGAAAAAGTAATAACTATTCAAAAAGGGTGGAAATGCCCAGGAAATAATTATAGATTCTAAAATAAGATTACGCATTACATTTGTATACTGTGATTTTTGTTTCTGATAGTCATCATGTGACGTATAATATATTAAGCATGAATTACAATACCTTATTACAACACGAGCGTTTGAATATTTTTGTGAAGCATTAAGGGGTGTCCTGCTAGGTTTTTTTCTCTTAGTTAAACTTAACATAAAATTTAGTCTTCGGCATATTGTATCATAAATGAAAATAAGAATAAGAATTTATAATTATTTATTATTTTGATATTGCTTTTGACTTAAGTCCATAAAAGATTGTTTTTATGTTATAAAAGGTAAATTTTTGTTTCATAATTTAACATATCAAACTTTACCCAAGTATTCCCCATTCCAAACTAAAGAGTGATTACCTTGCTTCATTTAAGAGAATGACTAACGTAGATACAAATATATTGTCTTGAGAAGAGATAAATCATACTTTTAAAAAAAAACACTCTGATTCAAAGAAAAAATACCACGAAACTGACATTATCATGATGTTTGATTTCTTGGCGGTTTTTTTTTCAAACAAACAATCGGCAGTCCCATTGGAACCAGACATTCTCCTCTTCTTGCCGGCTTGTTCATTTATTCCTAAGAGGCAGTCCTTAATAAGGAACTTCTCGTGAAGAATAAAAAAAAAATTATCACTATACTCTAACTTCATGAGTGAGCGGATATGCTAGCTTCTTTTCATTACGAGATGTTTGACCACTATGGAAAATCTGTTACACAGACGACTACGGAAATGTTCCAATTGTTGTTATTTCAATTTCGTCAACCTTTCTTCATATGCGACCAACCGAGTTATACTTGTCACCAAATGTGTACTTACATATACATCACGTTCATAAAATTGCATGTTTTCTTGTCACCATAACATATGAGAGCATTTAGTTATAAATGTATAAACATTCATATTTACACCATTATCGATAAAGATTTCTTCTGTCTGATCTTTTCAATTCTTTTCAATTTGCAAAGAGCAATTGAATGAAAAAATAGACCAGGCGTGAACATTACTCATTTTATCATTTATATATCTTTTTTTTATTTTATAGATAAGTCTCAAACTCATAACATTACTAACTGTACCAACGTTTGAGAGTGTTGGTGAAGATGTAAATATTATCCATCTACTATACTCTAAACTGTAATTGATTCACCAAACAACACAATGATACACTGATGCCAGTAAATAGATACTAATGTTATTCTTATTAAGGAAAACAAAAGACAATCTGCATTATTGTCTTAACTGTTGTGCAGTCATACAATGTTTTACGTTGCACGTACTTTGTCTTCAATACAAACCAACTCAATATTGAATTGGGCGTGTAATAACTATATTACTTAGTGATCAATATGTGGTTAACTATTTTGTCTGCAAAATATTGTAAATTGTGAAAATATTTCATGCTGATTGTAAATGGTTTCCTGTGACCCTAATTTTGTAAGTACTTATATTTGATTTGACTTTCAAGACGAGTTTTTAAGTCCAAAATACAACAATAAAGGTACAAGAAAAATTAGAAGTGCATTTACACATCTAAGTTTAAATTTGTATTGCTGAATTAATATTAAGTTTTTGAAAACGTTGATCTATTGATAACCTAAGTTTGAAATAAACCTTGAAGTAAAGTATGCTGATTACTAGAAAGACAATATCAATCAAACAGAAGAGTATCGATTTAGCCTCAGGGATTTAAGCATACGATCACAGAGTAAATATCAACCCTAATTTTGTAAGTACTTATATTTGATTTGACTTTCAAGACGAGTTTTTAAGTCCAAAATACAACAATAAAGGTACAAGAAAAATTAGAAGTGCATTTACACATCTAAGTTTAAATTTGTATTGCTGAATTAATATTAAGTTTTTGAAAACGTTGATCTATTGATAACCTAAGTTTGAAATAAACCTTGAAGTAAAGTATGCTGATTACTAGAAAGACAATATCAATCAAACAGAAGGGTATCGATTTAGCCTCAGGGATTTAAGCATACGATCACAGAGTAAATATCATTTCTGATCTATATTGTATGTGTGGAAAAAGGTTAAATCACAAAAGTTGTGGATGCAACATTGAGAATGTACGCCATTTCTTCTTCGACTGCCATTTATATACATACCAGATAGAAATTGATCTACATACCAGATAAAAATTGATGTATAATCTTAGATATGGCTCACTGTTAACCTTATATTGAATGTTTTTATTTATCTGAACGCCGCTTGCTTCAGAACAAATTTTAACTGAACATTAAAATTGATAAAAAAAATATAAATTCATCATCAGCTTTCAAATTCGATTTATATATTTAATATTAACGATTAGATAAAGCTTAGGTCAATAGAATATCATAAATCATGTAATTTGCCAATATAAGGCGAAAACAGCTTGTTTGATTTATTTCTCAAAATGTTCAAGGGACATATGATTTGGAGAGCTTCATGCTCAGTTGATATTCGATATTTAAGTTCAGTTCCATTATTGATAGATCAATATTCATTTCAGCAAAACCTATTACCAAGTAAGATTAGAATAGATCTAACCAATCTATTGTTTCATATATCTGCAATTTATCAATGCATTATTACCAGAGTTATTGTTGTTACTTTATTTTGAAGAGAATCCTTATACAACGTAAAAGGTTTAAGATTATTTCATCAATAAGAAAAAAGTCCAAATCGCACAAAATACAAACCCTTTAACAGTTTTATTCCGATTGACTTCAGTTTACACTTTTATCAAATCACCTGGATATAAATCTCATATGAATATATTAACATAATTATCAAATTGTTGTATTTTTTGTATTTTTAAACTGTACTTGTCTACAAAATATTGTAAGCTATGATTTGTCAAACTATTTGCTTTTGGATTGTTTGTTTTAATTATACATGACTCTACATTTATAGATAAACATATTTGATTTATTTATCTGAGGTACTATTCGGACGCAATATGGTTTTACTGTGTTATTTCCATTTTGTTTACCCTCGTATTGATATTTTGTACTTTATCTAGAAAGTGTGTAATATTATGGTACGTACTATCAACGACACAATTTTTTTTATTTTCCAATTATTGATTTAAAACAAAAACATTTTTTTAAACTACAATTTCAAAAATCGATCTTAGTTTGGGAGAATATGATTAATTCATCAGTTGTTATTGGCTCTGTACTAGGAAGAGGGACGAAAGATACCAGAGGGACAGTCAAACTCATAGATCGAAAACAAACTGACAACGCCATGGCCAAAATAAAAAGACAAACAGACAAATAATAGTACAGATACTATAGTACTATAGTACAAGCTTTCAGTAACAGCGATCACTCTTATGTTGATGCTTGTTTGTCTATTGTAATTATGATAGTTGTTTTGGGCCAATTGCAACTTATTTTTACATTTTGTTCTTATGTTGTGCTGTAACACCACTGTTCCAGGTTTGGAGAGGGTTGGGCGCTTACAGACATGTTTAAACCCGCCGCATTCTGAATGTGTCCGTCCCAATTAGGGAGCATGTAGTTCAGTGGTTGTCGTTGATGTATGTCTATCATATTTGTTTTTTCGTAAATTGTTTTGTTATTAATTAGTCCGTTAGTTTTTCTCAGTTGAATTGTTTCACATTTTTCATTTCGGGGCCGTTTATAGCTGAATATTTAAACGGATTTTCTCATTGTTGAAGACCGTTTGGTTGCCTACTATTGCTTACATTCACTTCATTTGAACTTGGATAGTTAGTTGTCTCATTGGCATTCATACAACATCTCATTTTTTTTATATTTAGCTCTTAAATCTTGAAACATAAACATTGTCTCATAAAGAAAATTACTGCCTTTGCAAATATTTTAATATTTAATTCTCATTTTCACAATCAAAGGCTGATTTTTGTCGTTATTTTACGTCTTTAATATCATGGGGTTATAATACTTCTTTTCATATTACAAAATAAAATGTATATCCTTAGCAAATCAATAATTTCTACTTTTCTAAAATAAATTTATGTACCTATGTATCGTTACTTTTGTCAACTAGTATATATCAAATTCAGCTTCATGATATGGAAACGAAAACATTCTACGCGTATAGTAAACCGAACTTTAAAAAAATATACATTTTTTGTCGACTAGTATATATCAAATTCAGCTTCATGACACATTACAAAAACCGAACTTTAAAAAAAAATATTATACTTATACAACCTAACAATTTCTATTTGATATTAACATTAATGATATCTTACGACAGCAAACAAAACTGCAAAAGCCGTACAAATGAAACTAGTTGCTTCGACAGATGTAACATCTCACCTTTTCTGAAAATATAGGAGTTGCCTTTCTGGCAAGTTAAATGACGCTGATCATGTAGAAATTAAAATACAATCGTTATTTTGTATATTAGTAAATTTTATTGACTGAACTAATTATTTGTTAAGCAATCCAATCACAAATGTTCATGTTTCCAAAAAGCTATACTTTATTGAAATACCGATTTGCATGTACTGATAGTATCTTTCAGATTGTGTCGACTTTCGAAACCCTAATGTTATATCTTAAATTTTTCATAAAAGGATTACAAATATAAAAAAAAAAGAAATTTCCTTAACCACACTGGCCCTATAGATTCTATTAGCAAAAGGGGACGAAAGAGGTTTTTTGAATCGAGAACGTGGAACATTTAGAAAACTTTCAAACACATGTAGCTTCAAGTATTGAAAGCCTTTTCAGAAAAGAAAATGACCCAATATAAAATGTAGCTACAAGTCGCAGACAAAAGATATTTTTAACAATTAATACATCTATTTCTTTAAAATTTATATACTGCTTTTACAATAACGTATGTCATACACCTATCCGGGAACAACCTTTATGCCGATAACTTACTCTTACGAAAAACCCTTATCCTGGAAATTTCAATTTTATGAAGTAAATATGTCTATAAGTATCAATAAGCAGTTCTTTTATTTGAGTTGGTAAATTATATTGATGAATTGCCATTTTTTATGTATTTTTTTTTTAAATTAAGTTATCTTTTCGTTGAACTAATAAAGAAATAAGAAAAGTAGCTGTCTAGATATAAAATAATGTCTCCCGTGTAACTGTTACCCTTAGAAAAAAATCAAATAGGAACCAGCTCACATTCGCGGTATTTTTCGAAGTCCGTTTTCAATTTGAAAATAGGAAGGGGGGCATTGATGATAGAACTTTTGTTCAAAATATATACATCGAATAAATTAAATCGAAAGAAATAAGGAATTGACACTAGACATCACTTGTGGAAAAGAGAATATGTTGTGTATACATTTATAACCTTATACGAAGACGAATACGAAAGTTTTATTTTGATTCGGTTCACATGTAACAATACAAACATAAGCTCTTAAGAGCTTTTTACCGAATATAAGGTAACACAAACACAACATTAAAACACACAACATGCAGACAGGATATATAACAGCACAGTCATATCGAAATACATGCAAAGCACTTTTAAAATACATATCTAAAGCCAAAGCTGAAGCACAACTAAAAATTAAGCACAACTAAAATTAAGCACAAATAAAATATAGCACACATGCAAAAATTTAAGGCATAATAACATGTTAGAGCAACTTCTAAAATATGATAAAGCTTATCTACAAGCAGAACAACAACATTTTGAACCATTCCAAGACTGTATAAGGCTCTTAAATTGAGAAAAACTGTTTCAGTCCTGAAATGGTCAGGTAGGCTGTTCCACAGAGTAGCAGCTGCAAATTTAAAACTTTTCTTACCAAACTGTGTAGTTTTTACATGTGGTATATCCAGTATATTACTATATCTGAAAGAATATTTACAATCTTTTACATTTAATAAATCATGTAAACAGACAGGTGCTAATTTATTGACTATATTAAAAGTTTAAATTGCCATAGATCTTTGTCTTTTAATATGCAGTGAAGGCATCTTAGCCTTTTCAAGCAACTGTTGATATGAGCTTGAATGGTCTTCGTACACAAACCTTAGTGCTCTTTCTTGCACTTTTTCTAATTTTTTTGAATTTTTCTCGGTACAAAAATGCCATGCCAAAGGGCAGAAATTGAAGTTTGACAAAATAAATGTATGGAAAATAGTAAGCTTACTTAGCTTGTTCAGATAAGCTCCCAAACGTTTCAAAATATTTAGTTGCTGAGATGCCTTCCTGCATATTTTACCAATATGAATATCAAAATTTAGCTGATAATCTATGTCAATGCCAAGTAAATTGACAGTTGACTCACACGAAAGATCAGCACTTTGGATACGTATAGATGGATTTTTGTTATATGTCTTTTTCCCAACTGCTTAGACCTGAAATTTGTCGGGGTTTGCCTGCATTTTATTTATTTTGAACCACTCAATAAGTTTGAGTGATTCAGATTCCAAAGTAGAAATCAAAACATCATAATCAGGACTACAGTAAGATAAAGTATTGTCATCTGCATAATTATACAAAGTTCCATTTTTTATAAATAAGAATATATCATTGATAAAAACATTGAATAGTAGGGGGCCCAGGATAGAACCCTGGGGAACCCCTTTATGAATGTCAGCCCAACTGCTAAGAATACTATTTATTTTAATTTGTTGTTTCCTGTTTGTCAAATAAGATTTAAGTAGTGAAATAGAATGAACAGAGACACCATATGCTGATAATTTATCAAGCAGAATTTCGTGTGGTAGGCAATCAAAAGCCTTTGAAAGGTCCATTAAAACAGCAGCTATATACTGGTTTTTATCTAATGCTGCACGCCAATCTTCTAGCAGTCGTAACAGTGTGGTCTTACACCCATGGCCACGTCTAAAAGCACACAGATAGGGATGAAAAATAATTTCAAAAAAATCACCAAGTTGAATTTCAAAAACCTTTTCATAAATTTTAGAAAAAATTGGTAGAACGCTGACAGGCCTATAATTGGCTTTGTCAAGTTGGTTGTTTTTCTTGTGCAGTGGTGTTACTTGAGCCTGCTTGAGTCTATCAGGAAATCTCCAGTTTCTACAGATAGATTTATAAGTGTTGTTAACTGTGGCACAATTATCGGTTTACAATGTTTCACTACTTTTGCTGGTATGCCATCTACTCCAGTAGCTTTTTTAATGTTAATTTTGTTAATAATTTTTACTACTTTTTCTGTTGTTGTTTTCTGAAAATCAAATTTTGTGTTAGTGCAGTTTTGATCTTTTATTTGCAAGATACTGGCATGAGTTGGTGGGTCGTATATCACGTCACTACCAATCTTGGCTGCAAGAAAAAAGATGAATAAATCAACATGTCTAACACAAGTGATCATATAATATCTTTCACTCGATGAACTAAAAAATGTTTGGGGCCAGTAATTTTAAATCTTAAATGGACAACATCAGTTTCAAATACTGTATAACTACACGAACATTATCACAAACCGAATTTAAATGTTACTGATGCAGCAGCAACTCAAAGTTTTCAAATATTTTTGTTTCACCACAGCTCTTAACCCCCTTCTTTTGTTGTTATGTATCAAAATAAGACGTATGTGCAACTAAACAAAATAAATCTGTTACATTCAGTCATTGCTAATTAGCATTTAAACAAATAAAAGTGAAGGAAGAGCCATAAACGACCTTATAATCTAGCATCGCGTTTCGAACACATAGGTTATCATCTGATGTAAATTGTTTAACCTTTGCGTTCCGAAAAGTTGTAACAGGTGTCCATATGCAACTATTCCAGTCATAGTTACGTTCGATAACTCTGCATGTTACTGGTTTAATAAGAATTATGTCAAATTTACTAGTTACCCGTGTGATGATTAAAAAATTGAAAAATATAGATATTTCACCTCGGTTACCATCCATTCGAGGTTTTCTTTTATTGATATAAAATAATAGCATAAATTAATGTCATTAAGAATCGAACAATACTTATCTACGTGTACACAAGTCTTGTCAAAACTTACATCGTGATTAGGTGCCATGCTTGTTTTCTTTCATCACGTTGATGACTTAATATCTCCTTAATCTAGCTATGTCCTTGGGTATGATTAAAGTGACAATAACGTGTCATACTTAATTGCAATATCAACAGTGAAATCAAATTGAATCATTTGTATGGGTAAAATTAGTGTCGAACATCTTCTACGTTTGTAAATTATTTGGTTGCCATTTTTTAAGTAACTTCGAAATTTTATCAAAACAAACAGCATGTATCCACTTTAACAAAGAGAAACAATGTTTGACTCTATGCTGCTTTAAGGTAAGACAATTACTGAAAACGCATGCATCGAATATTTATTCGATTTTTATCGTAAATATCTTACAAAATATATCTTCACAAGTCGGCCCAAGCTGTCAATGTAAAATACATGGTTAATGCATATAAATCTTTATTTTGAGTGCGAGAGACTGTTTCTAATGAATATGTTAAAGAAAAGATGAAATAAGAAATTTCTTAAATACAATAAGACACACTTCAATAAATATTTGAAATATTACTTTTTGATAAATAACTAAATGAATACCGGCATGTCGTGTCGTGTTTACTTCCAACAGAGGCCGCCATTTTTAAAATATTGCTAACGAATGCCAAAATGTCAACTTTTCAATCAAATTTTGAAGCAAAAAGTTTGATACCTAAACTGATATGGTTTTCGATTTCATTTATATGAATATGTTGTCGCTCTTTTTAGGTATTGGGAGGATATTAGTAACAATAAATAAGTTGAGAAAATTGATTATATAATAAGGTCCCATTGCAATTTTATCGAGTTTTAACGAAGAAGTCAACGGAGGCTGTGTGGTTATGTCACTTCTATTTTCAAACTTATTTTGAAGCAAGAAATCATATATCTGAACTGAAACTTAAAACATTTTTAATTGTAAAAATGAATATACTGTAAAACGCGGATATACCGAGTAAACAAAACAAACAAAGTTTTGCAACATATATCCTCGCATATATCTTGCCTAAAAAAGACTTTTAAAATGACAATTTACAAAGTTGCAGAAATAAATTTTTAATATTTTTTTTTTGTTGATTAAGAATTGCGTCTTTTGGTCGATTTTTGTCGAGCCTTCGACTTTTGTCGAAAAAGCGAGTCATAGCGATCCTACATTCCGTCGGCGTCGTCGTCGTCTTTGTTGCCGTCGTCGGCGGCGTCCACAAATATTCAATCTGTGGTTAAAGTTTTTGAAATTTTAATAACTTTCTTAAACTATCCTGGATTTCTACCAAACTTGGACAGAAGCTTGTTTATGATCATAAGATAATATTCAAAAGTAAATTTTGTAAAAAAAAAATTCTATTTTATCCGTATTTTACTTATAAATGGACTTAGTTTTTCTGACAGGAAACATTACATTCACTCTGTGGTTAAAGTTTTTGAAATTTTAATAACTTTCTTAAACTGTCCTGGATTTCTACCAAACTTGTAATGAAGCTTGTTTATGATCATAAGATAGTATCCAGAAGTAAATTTTGTAAAAAAAAAAATCCATTTTTTCCGTATTTTACTTATAAATGGACTTAGTTTTTCTGCAAGTTAACATTACATTCACTCTGTGGTTAAAGTTTTTAAAATTTTAACAACTTTCTTAAACTATCCTGGATTTGTACCAAACTTGGACAGAAGCTTGTTTATGATTAAAAGCTAGTATCTAGAAGGAAATTTTGTTAAAATTTTGTTCCATTTTTTCCGTATTTTACTTATAAATGGACTTAGTTTTTCTGCCAGTTAACATTACATACAGTCTGCAGTTTAAGTTTTTTAAACATTTATAAGATTCATAAACTATCCTGGATTTTTACCAAACTTGGACAGAAGCTACATACAATCAAAAGATAGTATAGAGAGGAATATTTTTATTATTTTTTTTCCTCATTTTTGTTGAGCCTGCGATTAACAGCAAAAGTAGGCGAGACACTAGGTTCCGCGGAAACCTTACGAATTTTTTGTTTGTTACGCTAGTTTATTTTTTTGTTATGATTAGAATAATAATTAATTTTTAAATATGATATTTAAAGTATCCGGTGCTAAACATTGTTTAATCAGTATATATCCTGAAATTTATTGGTTGTTAATGATGAAATAGAAAGGATATTGAATATTAATTCGAGATATAAAACCACTATGGGTGAATGCTTTTTTTGCTGTTCTAAGTTTCATAGTCACAGTGAGTCATTCAACATTAGCAAAAGTTTGCATCTGAATGGTTTGTATGTTCTTATGGCAAATTACTAAATAATCAATAAACCTTATCACGGTAGAACGGAATCGAGTAATTTACTTACTTTAACAGTTATTTTTTACCCCTACTGTTCTCCTTCATATTGGATATATTCCTGTTCCCGATAAAAATAAAAGTGGAAAGACTTGTACAGATCATCTGAACCGGCGCTAACCTGTATATGTACGTTACATTTTGACTGTTATATACCGGTAAAACGGAATCGAACCGATTACTTTTGATAAAGGTCTTTGTCTGTCTGCATTTTTAAAAGCCTTCGTATAAATCTTATAATTACTTAAAGAAAGACTTAGTCTATGTACTACGGAAGCTTATTTAGGGCCGCCTAAAATCTACGTTGAATTCGAATGATCGTTATCCCGATTAAAATCCTTATCAACCATTGTATAATCCTTTATTACGAAATTGTATTCCTTTTGAGCAGTTTGCACAGAATATAAGAAACAATACAGTCATTTTGAAAAGAAAACTGAAATCTTCACTTCTGCTAAACACTTTCTCTGAAACAAATTATCAACTTCATTGCATATTTCTGGGATAAGAGTACCGGCATATAAAATCAAATTGTAGGCTTAATTTTTGCAGACGAATTCATGTAATGGTAAACTTAAAACATGCTAACATTCTG